GGAAAGAAGGTGTCACATGTGCATGCTGTTGTCTCCCTTACTGTACTTTCTGAAATAAATGACAAGAAAACACAGTTGGCTAACTTTGCCAACATTTGGCTGAATCCTGTTCAAGCAACCTGACATAATTGTTGATTCAAGGAAAATATCATTATTAGACTCCAAATCACTCTGAGAAAACTGATGCAGTATGTTGCCTTTTCCTCTGGCCAGTCCCTTGCATGGGATCATTCAACCAGATGGAGTGCACTTACAAAAAATGAACCATGACCTATATAGCTTTGTTTGGCTTTTTCATGTCCCTTTAATTCCTGACAGGAGACAAGGTTTTTAATTTTAAGTTTTGTATGATATAACTGTATGTCAGCCTTCTTGGGCCTTCAACTTAATAATCATGTGCAAATATGAGGGCCCTTAAATTTGTTCACCACTGCCCTTCAAGTCTCTGTTTTCAGTCACTCTAAATTCTGAGAAGTTTCAAAGCCTATGATATTCTCTTCTAAAGGACTATCATTCAGGAACTGCTCATTTTTTAAACCTAGAGAAATCATTGTAAATTGCAGTGATCCATCAAATTATACCATAGTAAATTTCTTGGACACTTTTTAAGTTTCACAGTAAGGAGTTGTTATACTGAAGACAAAAAAACAAAACAAAACAAAACTTGCAATTAATTTTTTACCTCGTGTAAGGGATAAGCTGCAGCGTAAGATCCATTGCCAATTAAGCATCCAATGCCTAATATCATATTACAAAGATGCATAAATGACAAGGATATGCACCTACATTATGTTAGGTATAAGTTTCTGATCACACCATACACAATGTGATACATGATATACTGCAAAATCAGTTTAATAAGCTGACATCAATAATTAAAAGTAATACAAAAGAGAATACTTCAAAGAGTCTTGCTGTTATCAGAGAAAACTGACATGTACCTTTAAATTCCCTGTAGGTGGCAATATTCTTATTGTTCAATGACTGACAAAAATATATTTCTCTTCCTAATGTAAAGGGCCCCAAATTTTTAATGCTAGTCATTAACATAAAGTATAGTTTTGATTAAGATTGCTTCATTTTTACCAATCTGATTCCTCTTCTCACCATACTGTGTTCTTGTCAAAATTCTGTGAACGTGCTTGCAATTGAACATCAATATTTACTGTACTTCTATTTGTTTTGCCATCTCTGTCTGAGATATATATCGATGTGTTACCTGAGTATACTATTTTATAAATCAGGCAAAGGATGAATATAACATTTGGTCATTGTTCAGTGAGTAGAAGACCTACCATAGCAGGTACTACAAGACATACATGACTGTAAAACTATCAGACTTGTAATGTTGTAATGATAAAGTTGAGTTCAAAGTAAACATCCTGTGTTACAGGAATCACTTACAATTCTGCTTCGCTGAGCACTTTTGAAGAAATCATCACGGCTAACCATAACCATTTGTTAACCATAATCCTGATGGTTAACAAAGAAAACGTACTTGTCAAGTTTGTCTTTTCTGAAGGCACAAGTGAAGTAGTTTGGCTGCTCTGGGAGATCTTCAGCTCTGAGTTCAAATGGATTACGCATTCCAATGGTATCAAAACATCTCTCAGTCCAATCTCTTGTGTCAAAGTCATTCTCCTGTCAACAGAAAAGATTGTGTTAATTTCAAGCACTTATCAGGCACTTGTCAAATACATGTAATTTATGAAGATTGCGTGACGAAAACAAGTTACGCTGTCATGTCTATCATGTGGAACGGTTCTTGGGAGATCGTGGGCGACTCTTCTTAAGAGGCATAGTGAGTAGAACGGACACGTACGGTCCCCGTACCCAGCAATCAGAGAAAATGCTTATGGAAGATGAGCATCATTGGCTGTGACTGTCTGCATCAACATCACACTGATCGATACAGTACTGAAAATAACATTGAAATGAAATGCCTATTGATTAACTAGAGATTTTTAAATTTAGAAATTGAACACGGAAGCGGGTGCCAGGAAACTTTTAGGGAGCAACAGGAGACGCTTCCAAGGGACTGAACACATGCATCATCCTTCGCTGCAGGGTCATCAATCAATAATTGCTTTATTATAATACATACATGCGAGGCAGTGAGTTTTTAAAGTGTTTCCTCCACCTAAGCCTTGAGTATTTACTCTATTTTACATGATGTGATTCACGAAGATGACGTCTGCTTGCTCGATTATTTTTGAGTCTAATGCCCCAAGTGAATTTTCTAAAAATTGCTTTTGGGTTCCCACTTCTAAATATGTTACTTACTTAAAGAGTCGTGTGAGACAATTCATATCAGGTTTAGCAATCAAATAGCCATTTTGAACTCTGCTTTGCTTCGTTCCCAGGACCTCTCCTCCCTGAGAAACAGGACCGAGGTTGTGACGTTATTTGCATAAGCATCCCGCGCGAAAAAGAAATCACCGACGTTTTTGTGCTCATCATCCCTACAGGACAACTTATAAGCAGGTTGATAATCTCTAGAGAATCCAGTGTCATTCACTAAAATGCAGGTGACTGCTACGAAAGATCGTTCTGATGTGCCTTCACGGCGTCACAATCAGGCCGATTTTAAGGTATACCAGTGTCTTGTGGGGCAAATGTTAGGTATATCATCGCGGTCAATATCCCTTTACTTCCCCACCCCCTAACCCTATACGGCGTTTGCATTTTGGCGAAAGAGGTTCATTCTGCACTACAAGTCTCAAAGGAAAGAAATAACAGTTGTGCTTTCAATTGTATTAAGTCTATAGCTAATATTTCGCCCCATCCTTTCCTTCATCATTATTCTCCCCGTGCCTGAAATCTTCCACACTTACTCAAAACAGTTCCCTCTGACTTTCAGGAGTGTTTCCTTGACATGAAAAATCTCCTTGAAACATAGGAGTACTTTCGCTGATTGGTTAGAGAATATGATGGAAAAACTAAATCCTCTTAACTAATTTTATGCATAGAAATGTGTGACAGCTGAGAAAGAAAATTGCCTGTCACATCTTTAGATTTAAGGGGTTCAAACGGAGGTGGTGCTGCCTTATGGCACTTATCTTACGTTCTCCTGAGAGCAAAAATGCTGGGTTCCATCACTTTTGTAAAGGGTAGTAAATCAAAAGGTAAATATGAGTTAAATCCTCTTTTTCAACTTTCGTGCAGCAAAACATAGCTTCGCATCAATACCATGAGAAACATTGGTCAACCTCGATGTCTTTGATAAGGCTCCGAAACTAATATTTTTACATCTGGAACAAACATCCACGCTTGGAAAATGAGATGTTTAGGTTTTATCTGACGTTACTGTTTTGATATTATGACTAGTGGTGTGTGTAGTGTTTTTGATCCTGGCGGCGGGAAACTTGGCAAATCTTGTCAATCTGCACGTGGCTGATGTTGGGAAAACCGGCGAATTGCGTATTTGGCTCGTGATTTGTTTTGCTGTTCTGCTGCCATACTCGTGGCCGGGAACGCCCAAGCACTTCTGAGGGATCGCTGTCAGTGCTAGTGTAGCAACAGCTATGGCTTGTTTGATGATCTGCGTGTGCATCGCATTGGATTTGCCGTCTGATTTGAATACTGTTGAACAACCTAGTGTAAGCTTCGAGAGTTTCTTTTCAGGTGTGTTTTCCTAAGTGGACTTAACGCTTTCCAAACTATTTTGTGTTTTCCAAAATAGCGTTTTCCGCCAAAAATGGCTTATTTAGGAGTAAAATTAGTGTCAATTCCGCAAAAATACGTTGAATAACACCTTTTTTTTAAAGACCTAGAGGGAGGGTGACCTCAAAGTAGCACTATCTAGGCAGAAAGCACGGAAATGTCTCATAAATGATAGCACCAGAAAGACTTCGATTTTCACGGAGGAAGGAAAAGAGTCGTTTCAAAAGGGCAAAACTTTGTTTAATTCCACGGACAGTTAAATGTCAAGGCATTTTACCCATACAAATATTCCATTTTCCACTGCATGGTCTGTTAAACATGGTGAAAGTGCCCAAAATTATCTGAACGTTTAATATATGAACAATAAAGTCTATGATTTTAACATAATATTTAAAAAATCTGATAACCTGTTTTATTTAAAATTCTGCATTGGATAACGTCAAATGCAGCAGAAATTCTGTGCGATGTAACGTCAAGCGCTGCAGAAATTCTGCTCGATGAAACGTCAAGTGCTGCAGAAATTCTGCACGATGTAATGTCAAGTGCTGCAGAAATTCTGCACGGTGTACCGTCAAGTGCTGCAGAAATTCTGCACGATGTAACGTCAAGTGCTGCAGAAATTCTGCACGATGTAACGTCAAGTGTTGCAGAAATTCTGCACGATGTAACGTCAAGTGTTGCAGAAATTCTGCACGATGTAACGTCAAGTGCTGCAGAAATTCTGCACGATGTAACGTCAAGTGTTGCAGAAATTCTGCACGGTGTAACGTCAAGTGCTGCAGAAATTCTGCACGATGAAACGTCAAGTGCTGCAGAAATTCTGCAGGGTGTAACGTCAAGTGTTGCAGAAATTCTGCACGATGAAACGTCAAGTGCTGCAGAAATTCTGCACGATGTACCGTCAAGTGCTGCAGAAATTCTGCACGCTGTAACGTCAAGTGTTGCAGAAATTCTGCACGCTGTAACGTCAAGTGCTGCAGAAATTCTGCACCATGTTACGTGTAGTGTTGAAGAAATTCTGCAGTAGTTTCAGATAGGAAATTTTAAGGGTCCTAATCTATACCGTCATTTTCAACTCTAGTTTTTTAATGTTTTTCTATATACGTCAACAATACTCTTCATCCTGACGCTTTTTCCATGCTTTTAAATAAAACAAATGAAATGAACCTCACGATTGGAATCTAAGGGCTCCCAACGGGACCCATAGCTTTAATGAGTAGGTAATTCAAATTACAAATCAGACTTACACTCAAAAAAAATTTTTGATAACATAAACTTTGTCAATTGAATTGTTTACTAACTAGTAGATTGTCATTGACATATAAACTAGGAAGATACAAGACTACAAATTTTAGTCTCTATCGCTGCCTGTTCGGAAGGCAAAGCGGTACTGTCTATCCTAACTGCGCTTCGCCCTTTCCTCAACGCAGCCACCATTGCATAGCCATTGGGGGTTCCAGCATCAATAACCACGTCCCCTTCTCTGGAGAGGTTTTCTACAAGCCATGTGTAGCCTTGTGCTGGGAATGAATTCAGGAAAATCAAATTTTCTTTACTGGCGGACAAATGTCTCGAGGTTATTTGCCTTGAGACAGACCAGTGTCCAACTACAAAGGTTTCCAAGGCTTCCTGTAAATACGGACCTAAAAAAATTAAAATGAGTATCAACAATATGATATATGCGTATTATACACTTACTAATTTCTTTCGACACTGCTGGAACGTTTTAATTCACCAAACCTTATTATAAATTGTGCATGTAATACGCTCTCAAGGAGAAAGTTTAAAACAAGTTCAGATTATAGAATCATGATATATATTTTTGTTAACTCTACAAGTACATCAAATAATTCAATTCTGTTGACTATGAGGTTTTTAAAACTTTCTTCTGAGGACAGTTGTTTAATTCTAGAAGTATCTTACCTTGTGCTGTAGTTGGAGGTTTATTTTGGACGTAAAAGTAGCCATGCTGTGCCAGAGTAGCGCCCTCTTTTAGCATTTTTTCTTTTAGAGTTTTTACACCTTCAACCATTGTAAATAAAACAATGTTAAATGATGTAAGCTTGCAGAAATTAATGCGGGAAACAGTGCTAATTACATCATCAGCATTCTGTGAAGAGAAAAATATGAGTCGTAATAAGTAAATGCAAACAACTAAAAGTTATCCACAAAAAACAGGATTTGATTAGGATTGTAGTAAAATCCTGCATGTATTCGTTAAAGGCGATTTTTCCGTGCCGTTCTCAGCCTAACTGGAACGTAACATGATTTTTTATCATAAAAATGAAGTAAATGTTCATATTAAGTTCATTTAACTTAACTTATAACATTTCCCGGTTAAAATGAAACTTTTCGGAAAATTAAAACAACAGAAGGCGACAAGAAACATAACGTCTTATGCTAACAAGGGCAATTAAAATAACAATGCCTCGTCACTTAATTCATTTCTTTCCAAGTCACTCGATAGTCGAACGGTTGCGGGAGAGTCTCACCTAGATTTTTATCTTACCTCGCACTGCTCCCCTGCTTCACCTATGGTTAAAAACGCTCCCTCGTAATGTGGTAACTTTGCCAGATCGCTTTGTTGTACGTCTAACTGGCTGTTGCTAAATACTACGAGCCCAAATGTTCACAGATCCAAACCGATACGCGCCCCGTGAATTTATTGGAGTGAATTCGAGCTGAAAGAAGAATTGATGATAGATTTTAGGCTTACAGTGAATTGATACATCAGTAATTTAGCCATAACCTGGATTGAATGGGAATTTAGAGTCCAATGTCAGCAATAAATGTATACTGTATACTTTAAATCACCTTGAGTTTCTTCTTGGGAGGTGATGCTCCAGATTCTTCAGCAACAGAACCTGATGAGTCTTGGTATGATTCGGCTCCGATTATGTTTAAGAAATTTTCCACTCTTTTTCCTCCTCTGTATAAATACGCGGCTCCCGAATTCACTTTAATGTACCACAGTTTCGCTTCATTACTGCGCTTATCTTTTGGAGGCATCTTAAGTAGAAGGTTAGTTTACGACCAAGGCTGATCAGTTCTGGGATACACTCCTGAAGACCTGAAGACCTGAAGACCTCTTATCGCGAATCATCATTGCCTTTTTTTATACTACTGAGGGAACAATAATAGCAGTGATGAAAAGAGTCGCGATGAACTGCATTTCCGTCAAAGCTTTTTACACCTTCAGAATAAATTAAAAAGGTGACATTTTCCTGTGAGAACCAGTCGACGCAACTTAAAAGTTGCCTTGACACTTCCTGTTGTTTTTGTGTTATAACTGTGAGGCCTTGTCCACGCTATGCCTTTTAAATTTTGGTATTAAATCGTCGTTTCCTTCCAATCGTGGGAACAGTTAATTTTGTTTTCGCCCACAGTCCAACGATCTCTGGCGGTATCATCGGGCAAATATACATAACTAGGTCTGAATCAAACAAAAACCGCGGGCGTTTTGAAAATGGCTCCATGTTCGGTTAATACTTGATCAACTTATGTGCACGGTATGCCAGTCAGAGATTTGAAGTAGCGATTTGAAATTTATCCACTATAAAAAGTGGATACCACAGTGTTTAAAGGGGAAAAATCCGCTGAAGATTCCATCTTTGACATCAAAACCCATGACAAGCCGTTCGAGACCTCCCAATTCGTGCCACCCATTAGGCGAAAAATATGTTCTCACTAAGGCGAAGGAATAAGATTGCTTCGGACTAACTCTTCGAAAAAACATTTGAAGAGGTCCTTTTGAAATTCAAACAACGTTTCAAAGCATGAGGGTACCCAGAAAACATCATAGGAAGGACTCTGTCGGGGGTCAACAATCGGCCCTTTCATGTACACAAAAGCCAAAAGGTCACGAACGATTGTTGCCTTTTGTCACAACGTGCCACCAGACGGTCAAAAAATTAAATCATAATATTGATGAAACATTGGAGTCTGATACACAATCAGCCCTTGCTGAAAACAATTTTTACAAAACCTCTGATCATCTCTTACAAATAGGGAAAATCCCTCAAAAGATATGCTTGTGAAAGCAAAAGTATAATTTGAAGGCGATAATACGACGTGACCAAGAAAGCCTCATGGGGAGTCCGTGCCGGCCTTTCTTTACCTTTATTCTCAAGAAAGAAAAAGTGTTTCATTTCCTTTCTTCATCTGACAATTACCGGTGCGGCTAAACACACAACAGTAAATGACATTTTCAGTAGATCATCCCGCAGTGAATCAAAGTTAGGTCTCCTGGTGAAGTATACGTATACCGTGCTCGACAGCGCCATGCCTTTTCTGGTTTTAAAAGCAAAATTTAGAGGCGAGAAATCGGGTGAACGAAACTTGCGAACGAAAGCCATTAGCGTGTTAGTATTGATTTTAAACAGTTTGGCTATTGTTCTACGGTGCAAAACAAAGCAAGAAAAACCGCCTCGCTTCCTTTGATCTCTCTGAAATATCCACGGATATTTACCAGAGGACATCTTTACCACGGTAAGCACCAGGCTCGGTTAGTGTCGAATACTCTCAGTTAATGCAGCCTCCCGCGGTAAAAGTATTTAATGTCCCATGCAAATGCGCTCAACACAGGAAAATATAGGAGCCGATAATGTTTTTACCATTTCTGAGAGCATGATCTGGCTTTATCTCCACTATAATTCGCAAGCTGTCCTCTGTGTAATTCAACCGAGGCAAGACAAAAGTAATATCTACCCATTATTTTAAAAACCGCATACATCCGTCTAATCAAGATCTAATGTAATCGTAGAATTGGGCTTTTGTCTGTTTCGTCCATATCAAAGGTATACCTCTAGTGCTCTTGTCGGACCCTGCGTGGAGTTATCTGGTACACCTAGCACAAAAATGTTCCAACCGCTTTTAGCGAGTACACCAGAAAAAAGATCGTCTAGTTCTGCAAGCCTCATTGATTTGTATGATTCAGACACCGATTTAAGTAGTTTGGGATCACCACAAAAGAGAAGACTTCCCAATGAACCTGAGTGGGTTGACTTGGATAATTCAAGCGAACTTTTGAGTGCAAGCCCCCTTGTTCATGAGGAAATAATCCCGGTTAACGAGAGTCAATTAGAAATGGAAACTTTACAAGAAAGTGAAACAGCGTGGCTTGATTTAGATGTCAGTGCCTCCAAAACTACAGGTAATGAACTTGGCTCTTTTGAGTTCAAGAAGATGTAAATACTAAATACGCAGTCAATCCAGTCTCAAGAATTTTTCATTAACACCACAAATTTAATTTTAATTTAAGATTGGTTTGAGGACAGATCATAAATGCGCAATGTAATTTAAAGCCCCTAACTGATCACGGATTGGTGTCGCAGAATCTAGCTGAACGCGCGTATTGTGAGTCTTACTGTTTCTCCTGCTTCACTTGCGCGGAGAAGAAAATACTGGTTCGCAGGCTATATAACCAAAGTCTGTGTGATATACTTTCAACGGTAAATCCATTTATTTCAAGAAAAACGTAAACCTAGATCCAGTTTAACTGTTAATTGTAAAATAACCTCAAATTCGGAAAAAATTATATGCATGAGTGTCAACGTTGACCATACGACGCCGACTTATTGTCTTATCACAGATGCTACGAGTATTTCTCTTCACGATGCCGATACTTCATTGGGGCATGACGAAACGCCGCAGGGTGAGGAAATTTTGATTTTCAAATTTTATAGTGAAGCTCGAAAGAGGGGCGTTTTTGATCTCTGAGAAAAGCAACACCTTTGAAAAAATTATCCGGCCACAACACAGATCACCGCGTAATCGAATCACTGAAATCACAATTTTTTCTAACTGTACAGACAACCGACCGCATCACAAAGCCACACTACATACTTTCAAGTTGACTTTAACCCGTGCATAAGGGTCCACTAATCGAGAAAATACAGCAAAACTACAGAATACAAGGCCACTCATTTACCTCTCGATGAATCACAACACATCCTTTTGTGTTCTGCCTCATTCTTCAAAGCATGCCGACGAGTTGGACTTCTGTAGCCCTTTATTCTGTTTTTGCTACAACTTCGTAAATCTAATGTCGGTTTTCTTATCTGACACAGATTTTTCCTGCGATTCTCTCCACGATGCGGATTCCTCTTTGAAAGTTCTAGAAACAGAAAAATGTGAACCAGATTGTGCACCTCCAGGTAAATAAGAAGCCAATTTTTTTTTCCGCTGACATCAATGGTAAGAAATTCCAAAGACAGTCATTTTGGTCTTCTAGTAGATTTATTTTCCAAGTTTCTGTATACCATGAAATCTTAAGGTCAGAGTTCTGCAAAGTGTCGATAATCTAGTGATTTTAAGGTATGTACAAGCTCGGAAAATTCGTTCCCTTGAGAATCAAAATAATTTTTGGAGTCGCTTGACATTTCTGAACAAACATCTGGTACTCTAACGAAGTTTGAAAGGACCTTTCAGTAGCAATTGTATGAAAATTTCCGACTGCCGGACATTAAGACACAGCGTAAAAAGTAACATCGAACACACAATTGCATTAAAGTGAAACAGATAAGCAGGCAGTCAACGGCCTCTACAAGTTGCTCAAGCGTGCAAAAGCAAATTTGGCCCTAGAAGCTTTAACTTTTCGTCACATTCATTGTACTTTCAGATCATCATTGGCTCATTTCAAGTGTCAAAGGGAAAAATGTTTTCCTTCACCTATCAAAATCAGAAAATAAGTCGTACATCATTCAGTGGCTTACGAACATAGCAGCAGCCACTGTGAAGTCATTTCTTAACAAACACGTGGATTTTATCATAACTGATCGAGAGGAAACTGGGAAAAAGTCATTTCGCAATAAGCTAAAAATCTCCAATGAAAAACGAAGCTCTCTGATGCTTGGAATTGCAACTACTAAAGTACCAGCAATAAGAGGATCGTCTTCCGTTTTTAAAATTGCGTCTACTTGGAACATAAAAATCTTAAAATATACTGATCTAGTGTCTTGCATGGAAGAATACCAATATAAACCAATCCGGCTGGGTGCACAAATTAGGATCAATACAAAGGGCCTTGTTCATGCACTTCGCAATCCTTTCGTAAAAGTAGAGGATCAGACAAGGAAATGCAGACCAGATATTGTTGAGATGAAATCATTCCCATACCTTGACTTTAATAATGAGGGAACATCATCACCATTCGATACTTGGTTTAGGCAAAATAGATTATGATTACCAAAAAAAAAAAACAAAAACAGAACAATAATACATTATTAACAGCTCTAAAGCCTTGACATGCTGCATTTCTCTCACCGTAGAATACGAGGGATATCGGTTGGGTCTATCTTTGTCGTAATTTAGATTATCAAACATATGTAATAATACAATGTAATACAATAAATTGGCTTGTTTTATTACGCTTTTGTTCGTTTACTGCGCAAAGGGCAAGTTAATCAATGTTATTGATCAAAATTCAAGGTTACCTTCGTCTTAAGTGATTATACTTTCAACGAAGACTTGAACAAGTTTTAATTTCCATTTAATATGGTCCCATAATTTTTTCTCAAATTTAGATTTATCTGCTAGACGAGACGAGGAAATTTTGTGGATCATTTCCATTAACTGTTGCGCAAAAAAGTGCATGAGGCAACTGTCTGTAGAAGACATAAGATATGCTGAAGCAAAGAAAAAGGCAGGAAAGCGAAACTATTTTTTAGAGTACCTGCATCAACACAGTAGCTCTGATGATTCCAATGAACTACAAACTGAATTTTATGTAAAAGGAAAGATTGTGTGTAGGGAAGCATGGCTTCTTGCACACAATTTAAATAAGGAAACCTTTAGACGAATTTGGGGAAAATTTAAAGATGGTGCAAATGTGCTGGAGCATGGGAATAAAGGAAGGAAGTCAATCACTAGCAAGACTGCAGATTGCATTGCCTGGTTGCAGTTTTTTGTTAGCTGTGTAGGGGACCACCAACCAGACAATGGTGGCATCCATTTACCAACATGCTTTACTAAAAGTGACATTTACAAAAAAATGCTGGAGGAAAATAAAGCACTCAGTCAGCCAACAGTATCCCTTTCTCATTTTTATGGCCTATGGGAAAGGAATTTTCTTCATGTCACCATTCCCAAGGTAAGTGGCACCAAATATGCAATAGTTTTCAGTATGATGATGACTAACACTTACAGGTGTGTGTATTTTACAAACCATTTATGTAATAATATCATTGCTGTTCCAATACATTAATTTGACAATGGCACCCAAAGAGAACATGAAAATGTGTTAAATATGGAAACCTAGATAGCAAAATAGGGGGCCCAGTAGGTCATGACCACCTCTTATCCAACAATCATGAGTGAAAAAAGTTTTATTTTGTGGCTTTGTTTGGTCTGTAAACTGCTGAGATGAACCATGCCTAGTTTTTTTTCATGTTATACCTCATACATGCAGAAATGATCTATCAATTTGAATCTTCTAGGAAAATCGCTTTACAAAATGCACAGACTGCACAAAATACAAGCAGGAGAAAGAGAAAACTGTGGACAAAGCCAGAAGGGCTGAAATTGATCACTTGCTGAAGCTTCATCTTGATTTAGTCTGGTGAGAGAAATGTTTAAAAAAGTACAGTTAGTTTGATGAACAAAAAATCTGTCACATCAAAAGCAATTCACTAGTCTTCTGGTCTTAAGAACTAATAATAATTTTTCCTTATATCACTAGGCAGGAAAGGAGGGTGTACTATCTTCACAGGTATAAAGCCAGGAGGTACCCATCAAAGTATGTGGCAAATATTGCTGATGGTATGGACCAACACACCACAAATGTCCCAAGTGTGCGCCGAATTACCAAGGCAATGTCTGCACTTACGACTGTGGGAACACACCTTGTTGGTTCCATTATTCACAATGGACAAGCACAAAATGGAAAGGAGATTTATGGGTCATTTGACTACTACCAGTATCCTCATGACTCTAATCTCACTATGACAGTTCTGTTGGAAGTCCTTGTAAGATGGTCGGAGGAATTTGACCTACCACCCATTCTCTATCTGCAGTTTGACAACTGTGTTAGAGAAAACAAGAACCGCTACATGTTTGCTCTATTGGCACTTCTGGTTGAAGAGAAAATTTTTGAAAAAGTATGTTATCTTGGGTAATTTTAAAAGAAATGCATTTGCCTTATTCACATTTCCCACAAAGCACTTTGTTCAAGTGTCAAAATGTCCCATTGCAATGTTTTCAAGGTCCATTTGGGTGGGAAGTTAGTTTCCATTCAATCTCAATTTTTGCAACTACTGAATGAATGTAACCTGAAGTTGAAATTAAAAAAAAAACAACACCACTTTCCCTTCTTGTATTTCAGATAAGAGTTAACTTTCTCCCAGTGGGACATACCCATGAGGACATAGATGCCTTTTTTGGGGTTTATTCAAAGCACTTAGACAAACTGGATGTTTACACAGTCACAGGTAAGTTGTTCTAACATAAAGTAATTACTTCAAGGTACAGTTGGAGTAACTGAGAGGTTCAACAATCAAAACTGCCTGTGCAGTGTGATAATCTTGTGTGGCAAATATTCACATAAGTTATCTATCAATATAAATACATAGCAACTAGCACTGTGATCAAACAAATTTCTGCACGAGGCAAGAGCATGGTTCAAAATTTAGTCTATAGAAAGTATGAACACTTCCACTTGAATTAACAGATTAAATGTGACATTGACATGTTATAAATTTGGTGTAAATGTTTATTTACAGAGTACATGTAAGATCTTAATTTATTTTACACTTCACTGTCACTTAGAATTACTGAAGGCACTGGAAACATGCATGAAGAATCCAACACCCAAGCCCTATATGCTCAAGATGGTTTATGACATAAAATCATGGATTAGTGATTATTGTGAGGAGTTACATGAACACACAGTTCCAAAGTGCTTTAAATTTACATTGAATGAGGATGGAAAAGCAGTTATGCACTACAGAAATTGGAGCCATGAGCCATGGAAAGAGCCCATTGCAATGCTGAAGGTTAGCACATGAAATTCTTAATTAGTGGTTCCTGAGTCATAGTTAAAATAGTAACTTAAAAGCTTACCTGATGTTTTCTGAAGTAGCATTGGCACTGACAATTTGTAGGCCTGAAAAATAACATTAATGCTCCAAATAACTGAATGTTTGCTGACATTACATGTTAAGAATATGCTGGGTTTAAATTGATCCTCAATTTAAAATGTATCTCACTGCTTTTCCCTGTCTTTAAGATTGGGATCATAATGTGTACAAGTCAAAGAAGAATTAAATGGAAAGAGAAAGCCCTTATTATTGTCTCTCAAGGAAATTTGAGCCAACAAATACATTGCTAGACATGGTTTGATGCTACTCTGGTTTAAAGATTAATTTTGTTGAATTTAACAGATAAGTTACAATTATTTAATATTTAAACCAGAATAAAATCAAACCATGTTTGATTGTTCACCTGGCTGCCTTGTGAGGTTTAATATATCAAATTCATTGTTGCCTTTTTTTGCTATACTAGAGTTTACCCTCTGGAAAGCCAAATACTGTGACTCCTTCCCTACATAAACTGGACATGGAGGGATTGAAGAGAGATATTCCCACCAAATATCCCAAGAATATGCCCTTAAAAGCATCTGAAGAGTGGGAATCCTGGTTAGCAAATACAGAGTTTAATCTATTATCAGTACCTGACAACTACACTTGGCCAGTGGATAAATTGAAGAATACTTCAAGGACTGTTTTAGCCTCAAATGCTGAACTCCCTCATGAACTTTTAGAGCTCAGAGAGAAAGAGATCCAGCCTATCACAGAGGTGAATAATAATTAAAATGCAGCAGTGGACACTAAAAAGCCAAGCCTTCAAATGGTCCTACAGATATAAAAGAGAAATAATTAGAGGGGTCCATTCCTCTAACCCCTTCTGCGTCCAGTTATAGATTATACAAGTCCAACTTTAGATATATAATAATGTACATGATAAAATTACATGCTTCTGATTTGCTGAAAACAAGCCAATTCTCATGTAGCACAAATGCAAAGTTGCAACATGAGTCCAAATTACAAATAGGGCAAACACACTTTCAAAATTTTGTCTGCACATTGTTCTTGCAATTTGGTCTACTAAGCACTTGTAATTTTTCAAATACCACGAAATTGCACTTGCCCTTCAGGCTCGTGCAAAAATTTTGTTGTCTTTGGAAACTTATTTGTGCTTATTCACACCAAATTGCACTAATAGAATATGACACGGTCACATAATCCATTACTTATAATTAATCAAAGAATAAAATGATAAGAACAATTGATAATTGATACATCTCAGTCGAAATGCTCACCTAAACAAGTAAATTCTAATGAAATGTCTGTTGAATATTTCAGATTTACACAGGCCGTTACAGGACCCCGAGGGAAAGGGAAGCGCCTATTGAAATGGTAGACGATTTCCTCGCTACTCTTCAAGTCAGCTGCTTTGTGGCTTTGTACTTCGCCAATTACGATAAACTGCCCTGCATTGGCAAGGTCCTGGCCGTCGAGGAGGACAATTTTAAGGTGCATTACTGGAAAGGCACTTACTGTGGAAAGTGGACTCCTCAGCATGTTCCCCGACAAAAATCCAGACCATGGGTGGAGATCCTTCCTAAGAGCTGTATAGTGTGCAGTTCATTTGAGCTTACGGAAGACAACAAGCTAATGCCATCAACAAGAAAATTTCTCAAGGAAAGATATGTTGCTTTGAGGACAATTCAATCTTGAGTTTTTTCCTTTACGCCATTCCTTTCTGAAATTGGGCTTAGCTATTTGTGTAAAATTACATAGAGTGTCGTGACACATGCGTAGTAACGTTGCTTTAGAACACGCATGTACTGGAATTGCGGTTTAATGACTTGTGTGTTGCTCAGTGGCCTCTGCCTATGTGGAGTTTACAATTAATTCTCTATAAGTTACAGAGTCGAGTTAAGTTCAAAGCTAGGTATTCTTTTTGCTTTGACACTGTTCAGCAAGATGTGGTAAATGAATCCACCTACATCGATGAAGTCTTTTATCGATCGAGTCGTATCCAGTTGCCACTCTGTGAGGAAAATATATTTATTTATGGATGTTTATTTAGCAATCGATTTCAACCCGAGTCTCTCATCTCGAGGCCGTAGGTAGGACATATATATAGATATATAAGAAACCAAAATTTTTTTCCTTCGATGTCGAATTTTCTAAGCCACCGTGTATTGAAACTACTGAAATGTAGCATGGATTTATTGTAACTTAACTCTCCATCCATAAGGCCTCAAGGGCTTTCATTACAGGGTAGGGTAAATGCAATATAAAAATAAGAAATTTTTTATTAGTTGTAATTTTTACATATGTTTTTGAGATAGTTCAAAGGAATGGCAGTATAACAGTTTATATTTTCCTCTTTTAAAGTGGAATCAAATTGTTTGTGTGATAGATCTCAAAATTTTATGTCATTGGATTTATTATATTTTTTCATTTCATTTATCTGATCGTGCAATAAAGGGACGTGACTTGAACTGTTTATTGTATTTCTTACTTCCTTAACAGATGAGTATAACTACCACATTTATGAAGATGTGCCATTTGATAGTTTAATTATTGTAAATCATAGAGTGATTGAGGATCACTGACCAAATGTTGTGGAATTTTTTATTGACTGGTTTTAGTAAGATTGCTAAATGGCTGTATTGTGATTGTGTAAATGTGATTGCAGAATTTCTGTGACATCCAGTGGTTGAGTGGTTGCAGAATTTCTGCGACAGCTTGTGACTGAGTCATCGCAGAATTTCTGCGACACTCAGTGGTTAAGTGGTTGCATAATTTCTGCAACAAGTTTTGAGTGAGGGGTCGCAGAATTTCTGCGACAGCTTGAGACTGAGTGATCGCAGAATTTCTGCGACATCCAGTGCTTGAGTGGTCGCAGAATTTCTGCGACAGCTTGTGACTAGGTGATCGCAGAATTTCTGCGACATCCAGTGCTTGAGTGGTTGCAGAATTTCTGCGACAGCTTGTGACTGGGTGATCGCAGAATTTCTGCGACATCCAGTGACTTGAGGGGTCGCAGAATTTCTGCGACAGCTTGTGACTGGGTGATCGCAGAATTTCTGCGACAACATGGTACTGAGTGAATGCAGAATTTCTGTGACATCTAGTGACTGAGTGGTTGCAGAATTTCTGCGACATCTAGTGGCTGAGTGGTCGCAGAATTTCTGTGACATCTAGTGACTGAGTGGTTGCAGAATTCCTATAATATCCATTTCCTGAGTGGTTGCAGATTACCTCTGCATCTTTCCATGGTTGACTCTTAACACATTGTTTTTTACAGACATGCTCAATCTTGCAGGAGAAAATAAGATTTTTTAATCTTTCTAAGATTTTATCCGCGAAATTTGATTAATTTTGCTAGTTTTCCTAAATGTGCAGAGGAAAACTATTGATTTATCAAAAAATAGGCTATTTTGGAAAACACAAAATAGTTTGGAAAGCGTTACTTATTATCATATATAATTATATATGCTACTCACATAAAATTATACGATAAGCTGAATTATACAAGCATTTTATTGGTACTACTTATGTTCTGTTGGAAGACAAACGCATAGATGACGTCATTATTAACAACCTTACGTCATCTCTACAATTAGAAAATCGATTCTACGTTGCTGTGGGTCTGTACAATAATAGATCACAGAAGACATCAAAATGTGGCAAAAACATCAGTGACACAACCGGCTGCGCTTCATGTGCTCTTTTGTTTTTTCTTACCACGTTTTGACTGCATCTGTGATCCATTTCTGAACAGAGGCTGCCAATGGTCTCGGTGTGGCCAAGTCGACTTACAAGATTATCCAGTGTAATAAAAAAATGACATGACTTTTTTACTAGAATGTGCCGCGAAATGTTAACATTTTAATCGTCAGTAAGAGCTATCCACTGCGTGGCTAAAATTTCGCAGGAAAAATGAGGATGGTAGGTTTTATCTAAAGTGAACCTTATATTCATTCCTCAATGCTGCTGAGTTCTTATAATTTCTCCTTTTCTTTTAGCTTTCCGAACTATATTATTTTCATTTGGTGGCGCTTCAACCTTTCCAACGATTCAGGGGGTGGAGGCGAGGGCAGAATTAGTCTCGTACACAGACCTCCCACGGCCAAGCGACAGAAATTGATCCTTCATTTTGATCAAACTAGTAGAATCAGGGTACGAATTGTTTGATCCAGTAATAGTTCGTATTATTACTTAATGCATGAAATATGTTTGTGCTAGTTTATTATAAAGAGCTGTAATCTGGCCCTCGTGTATGATTCACCGAGTGCCTAAGGAAAACGGTTATAAACAGCTCCCTGTCCATGAATAAAAGTACATGAATCGTAACATGCAGGGCTGATGGTTGTCTTATTCTTCTAAAAAGATCTGAACATGTTGACGTATTTGGTAAGTTTGACACCACAGGCAGCCCAGGCTCAATCTGAGAAGTTTGAAAAATTTAGATATTACATGATATGACCAAACTGTTACACGAAACATGAAAAGAAACATGAACTGTATGTGAAATTCACCTTTTAGCCTAAATAATTTAAAAAGAGCTAGATTTGCAATGGAAAGTTCACCTACGGCAAAGCATCAGGACATAAATATGTATTTTAAAAAAACTCCCCACATTAGTTTTGGGCGGTCTGTGAGATCTGGTTTGTTAAATGCGGCAACATAGAAAAATCTGTGTTGGTGAGAAATTTATGTATTGAAACGCAACGTACCAGGCTTTAGCTTCTTGTGGGCATGCGCACTCTTTTCACTCCCTCGGAAATACATCCTTTACTAATATCTATTTCTGAATGAATGGTATTCCTCAGCTTCAGTCGTATTACCATTCACAATTTCTTTGTGAATTAAAAATTTTTCATCCTACGTGTTTCATTTGAATTTTCTTGATTAAGATCTCTAGTTTTTAAATAACCAACAATGACAATAACGTCATGTTTAGACAGGCAGTGAACATATTGAACGAAAAAGAGATGAAAAAGCACAAATATTTGCTATAAGTAGAGACAAGAAGTCGAATGAACAGTTCAGTTTTTTAAAGAAAGATGAATTCATGAAAAGTTTGGAAGTTTCAAAACAATTTCAGTTCCCCGGGATGTTAATTATGTATCGTCCACCACATAATTATCGGTAATTATGCATGCAAATCCACGTGCAGTTTATTGCAAACGTATTCAAATAAGGTTATTTTAGCAATTCTCTCTTTAACGGTGCAATATTGTGGCTTACAAGACACCAGAGACTCGATGGGGTAGTTCAGGTAAATAATTGAATCAATCCATTTGTGAATTGCAATAAGTACATTTAATAGTTCAAAACAATTGATAAAAAATATATAGTTACAGCCAGTTATAGTTTTTTCAGTGATCAAGTCGTAGTAAGTGTTACCACACCATATGTTTTTGACTTTATGTTGTTGTTAGGCTTTAAAAAAATTAATATGCTTCATAATACTTACTGTTTTATTTGTTTTTGTTTTTTATTTTGAAAATTACACCTAAATAACGATTTTCAACAGAAATTGAAGAGGCAATGGTTGTTTGTGCGATCAGCTTTTAACATGTCCAACGTAATCATTATGGCATCGTGCTACAATTAACTTCATCCTTTAACTTTCGGCCGGTTGTCAAAAGACGGATGTTTAACAAAACCTGACGGTTTTTTGTTGTTCACAAGTACTTTTATAGTGCGTTTGAATCGCAGGTCTTTGTGTAATGTCACACAGACTGCTTCAAAAGGTTTCAAATGCTTTTCTTTGAGCTTGTTTCAGAACGGGCACGACTGACAATGGACTTCAGCAACAAATTTCACTGTCATCGTTATATTCTTATGATCCCCATTCGTTAGCAGTTACTTGGCTGTCAGTTTTCTACATTTCTATCTTTATACTCTGTTGGCGATGACTGACCCCCCTCCCCCCTCCGTTTCTAGTGACCACCACGTAATTCCCTCAGATTATCGCCCCCCCCTCCCCCCCCCCCCACCCTCTCGGCGATAAATAGTCATTTTCATATTTGCATGAGTCCCCCTCTTTAAAAGTTAATTTGCTGTCAATTTTCAACAGTTCTATTTTTATACTCTGTTGGCGACGACTGATCCCCTCTCCGTTTCCGCTGAACACCACGTGATCGCCCCAAATCCTCTGCTCCCCCGGCGATAAATAGTCGTTTTCATATTCGCATGAGTCCCCCTCAATAAAAGTTAATCGGTTGTCAATTTTCTACAGTTCTATTTATATACTCTGTTGGCGACGACTGATCCCCCCTCCGTTTCCGCTGAGCCCTACGTGTTCCCCCCAAATGCTCTGCCCCCCCTCTCCCCCTTGACCCCCCCGGTGATAAATAGTAATTTTCATATTCGCATGAGTCCCCCTCATTAAACGTTAATCGGCTGTCAATTTTCTACAGTTCTATTTTTATATTCTGTTGGGGACGACTGATTCCTCATCCTTTTCCTCTAGGAACCATCAGATAAGGACTAGTCCCTTAGTATACGCCTATTGTTGCTTTTCAAGATTGCGTTATATTCAGCTCTTGAAAGCTCGGCTTATTTTATTTCCCCTCTGACCACAAGACTGAAAATGCGTTCCACACAGATTTTTTATGCCATGCCTGCTTGTATCGATCCCAAGCGCTGATATTGTCTATTGTGCTTTCAGGTGATTCTCCCGTCATGTCTGTGCTCACAAAGAAAACCATGTTGGTTTTCATTTGTTTATTTGGTAAGCGATGACGTTTGCTTCTCGTAAATATTATTGGGGAATAATTTAGCTCTCTCTGCCAAATATACTTAGTAATCATCAGTCATCCGTACGTAGTTCTGTTTCTTATTTTGGAAATACTTATCTCGTATGCAAATTTAACTGAACAGCTGTTCAAACCGTAAGAGGCAATTATTTGGCATCAAATACCTCAATTGATTGTCCACAACCCTGTAAATGCGAGTTTGGTTCTACAAATTCAACGGAAGCTACATGCAGTGGAAAACAACTTAAATCATTTCCGTGGAAACTGCCAGCTACAACGACAATCTTGTGCGTATATTACAAAGTTATTCATCTAAGTCAAATAAATTCAAATAAGACACAAAAAAACAACAACAAACAAACAAGGACAACAACAAGCGAACTAACAAGAGAAGACACAATACATGATTTATCAAGTAAAAAATACTTAAAAACAGTTAAACAGCTAATCAACCAGCTGCCAAATAAACCAAGAAGCAATGATGAAAAGATGAATAGATTATTTTTATGGATTAATTAAGAGAAAAGCGTCTATCACCATAATAGAGGAAATTCTTCTCTTTATCCATTCTTATATCTATGAAATTAATTTTTCAGTCTTCTTGTAAACGCTAATCACCTGAGGAAAAAAAAACTCAGAGTTGATCGCGGGTATTTTGCCTCGTACACGTCAGTTGAAAATGCCATTGCATTTTACAGAGACCTGAGTGATAACCATTTGGAGGAGCTACCATCTGACTTGCTTGCCAACCTCAGCAATCTTCAAGAATTGTACGTTAAATTACGTTTCCCAACGTCATGACAGTTGCGATTTAATAAAAAATGTTGTCGTGGTTATGTAAGGAAAAAGAAACATATCATACCATTTATTCATAATATGTCACGATCGATATGATGTGGTCAAAAAAAGTAGGTGTGGTCCTGACAGACTTCTTTTTGGTTTATATTGACGTTGAACCCATAGAGAAAAGAGAACTTCGGACTGGAGGGAAAAGTTCAGGGAGCATAAGGTCATGATTTTATCATTAGATCATTGATTTTCTTGTGATAAGCTAACAGCTAATCTTCTTGACTGTTCTGGCTAAATAGGAGATTAAACAAAAACAAGCTGAAAGACCTTCCTCCAACCCTATTTGAGCGCAATCCGCATTTGAAGATCCTGTGAGTGAAATTTACTATACCTACCTTTCTGTCATCGGGTCTGCTCCTATAGCAGCCCCTAGTTTAGCAGAAAAAAAAGTGACTATGTGGAAATTTACTCTCTGTTGATTCATTTATGAACTGTATCATATGAAGTCATATTTGGTGGATGGATTTTGCCACCGTTCTGTTAAAAATTATAATAATTTGACTTGATTATGTCGAAAGATCCGACAACAGTACTAATGTTTCGCCTTCCATGCGTTTGTACCCGAGTCAAAGCAAGCAGTTAAATGCCACAGCACAGTCCTCACTATACACTCCTCACTGTACACTTCGCACCCTGCATATAGCTGCGTTAATCAATAAACAAACGGTATCAACGCCTTTGTTGCCTCTGACGGGCCAGAATAATTCATTTACACTAAACTGAAACATGTCTTTTGCGTATCAAAATCGTCTGCTCTAATCATTTAATTACCCTTTAATTTCGTGAATGTCTCATAAACAATGCGGAAACTGTAGATGATAAACAAAACTTTTTCATTCTTACGTTGGGTCGGCCTGAGGGCCACTTTGGACAACAAGTAATCGCCTTAACTGAATTACAAAAACAAACATGCTAACAAAAAGGCCAGCGCAATGATTTTCTGTGACCTGGCTATATACTCATAAATCATGACCAAACCCTAATTTACGAAAGACCGACAGTAATTTAACTGTTTGTCCTCCATGCGTTTCCATACCCGAGTCAAGCTAGCAATGTCACAGAACAGTCCTCAACTTCAACCTGCATACAGAAGCGTTAATTCACATACAGACGGGAAAAAACGCCTTGGTTGGAAGCGACGGACCAGACCAGGTCATTAATGCTGAACTGTAACATGACCGTTGTATATCAAAACCGTCTGCCCCGATCATTGAAATATTCTTTATTCTTGTGGTAATCTCATGAGAGCTCTTAAAATCTTATGAAAGCTCTTAAAATGATATTTATTCATTCTTACGGTTAGTCGGCCTGAGGTCATTATAGACAAGATGTAAACGCCTTATACTTGAATAAAAAAACAACCATCGTAATAAGTTTCTAAACAGACTCAAAGTGGGATTATTGCTTTGAAATACTAGTCCCGACACTTTTTATCTGCTTCGCTTTAGCCACCACCCGGCTTGTTTCCAAAGTCAGGAAGACTCGTATATCTTTACATACAGTTACATTAATATATCTGTTTTTCTAAAAGAAAAATTATGCTGAATATAGAACAGGATGAGATAGAAGGAGGCTCCTGCAGAGGCTTGAAATATCAAATAATTGAAGTTATTTTTTTTACATTGCTAAACGAAATGAAATATAAAATTATGCATTATATGATAAAAGACTTTATCATTTTTCTTCGTGCTTAATGTTTTGGCTTCGTAAACGTTATTAACTTCAGAAGTGTAAAATATCTTATATGAGATGGTAATGTAGATACGGAACTGACTAGCCGTACTTACTTACACATACTGAACTGAACATTAAAAATGCTTCTAATGAATTAAAACCATTTAGCCAGATTATTCGATCATCCATCATGCTGATGGAGGTATGTTAAAAAAAAACAACAACAAAAAACATGCTATGACTAGCAGGTTCGGACTCACGAAGGGTTTCTTACTCAGTTAGAAGCTACTATAGGTTATTGAAAAGACTCACTTAAACAATATATGCATTTAAGTTTATTTCATTCCCGTGGTTATTTTTCTGTATTTTACAGACAATTGATCAACAATAGTCTGGGTAACCTGCCGTCTAGCCTGTTTTCTAATCTCAGAAATCTCACAGAACTGTACGTAGAGATATATATGTATCGTAGTCTCTTTGTTTTTTTCCCTAATATATATATATATATATATATATATATATATATATATACATATATATATATATATATATATATATATGATATATATATATATATATATATATATATATATATATACATTGATATTAATATCTGTTCTGTCATCTGACCAAAGGGAAAACGATTAGACAACAGTTTGGTTGGGGGAGGTACTCAAGACAGAGTCCAGGTGTTCCCTATGTTTTTTCTTTACATTGACAAGAGCTTTCAATAAACGCAATCCCAAACATGGAAAGATGACAAAGAGTTCTGGAAGAGACCTTCAGCATGTAATGATTGAAATGGTTTTAACAATGCTGCACTTCTCTATTATATGAAAAATTGTATTTATGAGAACGGTAGATAGGGTAGGTCTGGATAAAAGGCTGAAAAGAAAATATTTTTTCTCTTCTCTAGTCTTAATTTAATTGTCTTGGTGATCTCAGCCCACCACACGAGAGCAGTAAAATATACGCACCCAGTTTTAATATGAAGCTATTTTTTGTTCTCTTAAATGTAAGTAATGTTCGTGGAAACAAGCTCGTGGAGTTACCACTGGAAATTTTTGATGCTCTCACCAGATTGAAGAAGTTGTAAGTTAATCAGCAATTAATCATCGTTATCTAAATTCATAAATGTGTGTATAAGCTGAAGATCCTCGACGAACTAAACCAACAATAACTGTAAGTAAGGACGGAGAACTTTAGTAAGGACATTAATATACGACCATTCATTTGGAATGGCAGTATTCGGAGTCGTGGGGAAATCGCGTGTTATATGCCAACTAATTTTGACCTTCTCATTCATTTTGCCGAATGTTTTTAACTTCAAAGACAACGTTAAACGCTATTTTGCGAAATCAAATCAAATTATGTTTTAATGTTCACAGAGTATTGTGGAACAACACAATCGAGACTTTGCCGCCAAAGATATTTCATCACCTAACCAGATTAGAGGAACTGTAAGGCGTCTAAATCAAAAGCATATAACCTAGAATACTGGCTTTTTTTGCTTCTGCATTAGTTAAACGCGGATAGATGGCGAAATACGCTATCCATAATGATCTTCATAAACAATTTTTGGCAGTACTGGATATGGACCATGCACCCTCAGAAGGATCAGAATATATTTTCATAATCATTACTTTTGCGATATTCAGTGCACCACCCTCGTTATAGGAAATGTTTCAAGTGAGACGTCATCTCTCACGAAAGATCGAAAGTAATTTAAGCGCTTATCCTCCATGCGTTTCTACCCGAGTCAAGCTAGCAACGTCACAGAACAGTCCTCAACTTCAACCTCCACATAGAGGTGTTAATAAAAAACGCCCTGGTCGGAAGTGACGGACCAGACCAGGCCATTAATGCTGAACTGTAACATGACCGTTGTATATTAAAACCGTCTGCCTCGATCATTGAAATATTCTTTATTCTTATTGTAGTCTCATGAAAGCTCTTAAAATCCCATTAAAGCTCTTAAAACAATTTTTATTCATTCTTACGGTTACGGAAATTAATCAGAATTTATTATGGATTTTCCCGCTGTTGTTAATGGATTTGTTTTTTACAGAGACCTGAGTGACAACCACTTGGAGGAACTACCATCTGACTTGCTTGCCAACCTCAACATTCTCCAAGAACTGTATGTGAAACTATAATTCTCACTAAACTTAATTACAGTTAATTGTCGTTATTTCAAGATTGATATGAAGTAAGGGCAAGAAAGGGTGGTCCCCATAGTTTTAATGCCGATTACTGACTTCGACACTTGACGTGGAATGAACTTCAGATCAAAGGGAAAAGTTCAGAGTTCATCCCTCGGGAGCATCTGGTCATGACCTCTCTGTTAAAACACTGAATTATTTGTGATAAGCTAACAGCTACTCTGTTAACTGTTCCTGCTAAATAGGAGATTGAACGAGAACAGGCTGCGATACCTTCCTCCGAACGTATTTGATCGAAATCCTCAGCTGAAGATCCTGTAAGTTGATCTGCCTCTGTAAGATCGTCATCAGCTGCGCCGAAACAAATTGAGACATCTGAGAAATCCACCTGAACGCATTATTTGTAAAATATCTTATACGAGATGGTTATGTCTATAAGAATCTCGAACCATTGGAACGCAAAGAAGAACAACAGATATAGATAATCTTTTGTTTTTCTATCCTTAGAAGCAAATAGCTTGCAATTTCACAGCACTCTCCTCTGTATAGATATCATATCTAATCCTGCGTATCGAAAGGCCCATTGACCAATGGACAGAACAAGACACCATGTTCAGAACTGACTAGCCGTACTTACTTACTCATACTAAACTGAGAAATGTTTCTAATAAATTAAAAGCATTTAGCCAGATTATTCAATCATCCATTATTCTGATGGAGGTATCTTAAAAAAAGGTAAAATAAAACATGCTATGACTAGCAGGTTCGGACTCATGAAGGGTGCCTTACTTAGTTAGAAGCTACTGTAGGTTACTGAAAAGACTCACTTAAAAAATATATGCATTTAAGTTTATTTCATTCCCGTTGTTATTTTTCTGTATTTTACAGACAATTGATCAACAATAGTCTGAGTAACCTGCCGTCTAGCCTGTTTTCTAATCTCGGAAATCTCACAGAACTGTACGTAGAGATATATATGTATCGTAGTCTCTTTATTGTTTCCCTAACTCAATTCATATCACGCTATATATATATATATATATATATATATATATATTGATACTGATATCTGCTCCGTCATCTGAGCAAAGGAAAAAGGATTAGATAACAGTTTGGTTGGGGGCGGTACTCAAGACGGAGTCCAAGTTTTCTTTATGATTTTTCTTAACATTGACAAGAGCTTTCAATAAACGCAATCGAGAGCAGGGAAAGATGACAAAGGGTTCTGGAAGGGACCTTCAGCATGTAATGATTGAAATGGTTTAAACAATGCTGCACTTCTCTGTTGCATGAGAAATTATTTTAAATGACAATGATAGATATGATTGAGATGAAAGGGTAAGTCTGGATAAAAGGCTGAAAAGAAAATGATTTTTCTCTTCCCTACGCTTAATTTAATCGTCTTGGTGATCTTAGCCCACCACACGAAAGCAGTAAAATATATGCATCCAGTTTTAATATGAAGCTATTTTTTGTTCTCTTAAATGTAAGTAATGTTCGTGGAAACAAGCTTGTGAAGTTACCACTGGGAATTTTAGATGCTCTCAACAGATTGAAGAAGTTGTAAGTTAATCAAAAATTAATCATCGTTATCTAAGTTCATAAATGTGTGTGAAAGCTCAAGATCATCGACGAAGCAAACCAACAATGAACTGGAAACGGAAAACGCAAAACTAAGGAAGGGTTACAAGGAACGGAAAACGTAGAACGTGGAAAAGAGAAGAGAAAATTTAGAACGGGGAACGGAGAACTTTAGTGAGGACTTTAATATACAATCATTCATTTGGAATAGCAGCAATCGGAGTCGTGGGGAAATCGCGTGTTATATACCAACTAACGTTGAGCTTCTCATTCAATTTTGCCGAATGTTTTTAACTTCAAAGACAACATGAAACGCTATTTTGCTCAACTAATAGAAATAAAATTATGTTTTAATGTTCACAGAGTGTTGCGGAACAACACAATCAAGACTTTGCCGCAAAAGATATTTGATCACCTAACCAGATTAGAGGAACTGTAAGCGACGTCTAAATCAAAATCATATAACCTAGACTGGAGCTTGCGAATATGTCTGTTACAGAAGTTGCAAGATGATATTTGTAAATGTAAATGTAAACCACTGGCTTCTTTGCTTCTGCATTAATTAAACGCGGAACGATGGCGAAATACGCTTCAAGTGAGACGTCATCTCTCACGAAAGATCGAAAGTAATTTAAGCGCTTATTCTCCATGCGTTTCTACCCGAGTCAAGCTAGCAAAGTCACAGAACAGTCCTCAACTTCAATCTCCATTTAGAAGTGTTAATAAAAAACGCCCTGGTTGGAAGTGACGGACCAGACCGGGTCATTAATGCTGAACTGTAACATGACAGTTGTATATCAAAACCGTCTGCCCCGATCATTGAAATATTCTTTACTCTTATTGTAGTCTCATGAAAACTCTTAATATCCCATTAAAGCTCTTAAAATAGAGTTTATTCATTCTTACGGTTAGTCGGCCTGGGGTCATTATCGACAAATTGTAAACGCCTTATACTTGAATTTAAAAAGGAAAAACAGCCATCGTAATAAGTTTCTAAACAGGCTCAAAGTGGGATTATTGCTTTGAAATACTAGTCCCGACACCTTTTATCCGCTTCTTTTTAGCCACCCCCCGGCTTGTTTCCAAAGTCAGGAAGACCAATAGATCTTTAAGTACAGTTATATTATTATATATGCTGTCTAAAAGCAAAAGTATGCCTGAATATACAACAGGATGAGATGGAACGAGGCTCCTAGAGAGGCTTGAAATATCAAATAATTGAATTAATCTTTTTTACATTGCTAAACGATTAATTATATACAATTAGTGAATGATCAACTGGCAACCAACTGAGAAGACGGCGAGTGACAAAAAAATTACCTTCTCTCCCATCCTTTGAAAAGAAAATTAAAAATTGTGCATTATACGATAAAAGACTTTATCCATATTTGCGTCTGCGTGCTAAATGTTTTGGCTTCGTAAACGTTAATTAATTCAGAAATTTGTCAGAGTTTTTCATAGGTTTTTATTGTGAATGGATTCGTTTTTTACAGAGACCTGAGTGACAACCATTTGGAGGAGCTACCATCTGACTTGCTTGCCAACCTCAGCATTCTCCAAGAACTGTGCGTGAAACTGTATTTCTCAATGAACTTTATTGAAGTTGTCGTTAATGTTTCGTTTGCTATACAGGAGACAGGAAAAATAGGATAGCAGAGAGAATTTGTGGCATTTATTGACATATTTCAAGATTGACATGATATAAGGGCAAGTAAGGGTGGTCCTCCTAGTCCTAATGCTGGTTACTGACTTCGACACCTGACGTGGAATGAACTTCATATTATTAAAGGGAAAAATTCAGAGTTCATCCCTCGGGAGCATCTGGACATGACCTCTCTGTTAAAACACTGAATTATTTGTGATAAGCTAACAGCTACTCTGTAAATTGTTTCTGCTAAATAGGAGATTGAACGAGAACAGGCTGCGATACCTTCCTCTGAACGTATTTGATCGAAATCCTCAGCTGAAGATCCTGTAAGTTAATCTGCCTCTGTAAGATCGTCATCAGCTGTGCCGAAACAAAGTGAGACATCTGAGAAATCTTACTGAACTCATTATTTGTCAAGTATCTTATACGACGGTTATGTAGATACGAATCTCGAACCATTGGAACGCATAGAAGAATAAAAGCTATAGATAATCTTTTGTTTCTATCCTTAGAAGCAAATAGCTTTCAATTTCACATTCCTCCGTACAGATATACTTAATCCTGCGCATTGAAAGGTCCATTGACAGATGGACAGGACAAGACACCATGTTCAGAACTGACTAGCCATACGTACTTACTCATGCTAAACTGAGAAATGTTTCTAATGAATTAAAACCATTTGGCCAGATTATTCCGTCATCCATTTTTCTGATGGAGGTATGGAGAAAAAAAAGTAAAATAAAACATGCTATGCCTAGCGGGTTCGGACTCATAAAGGGTGCCTTACTTAGTTAGAAGCTACTGTAGTTTACTGAAAAGACTCACTTAAAGAATATATGCATTTAAGTTTATTTCATTCCCGTTGTTATTTTTCTGTATTTTACAGACAATTGATCAACAATAATCTGGTTAACCTGCCGTCTGGCCTGTTTTCTAATCTCGGAAATCTCACAGAACTGTACGTAGAGATATATATGTATCATAGTCTCTTTTTTTCCCTAACTCAATTCATATCACGTTATATATATATATACATTTGATACTGATATCTGTTCCGTCATCTGAGCAAAGGAAAAAGGATTAGATAACAGTTTGGTTGGGGGCGGTACTCAAGACGGAGTCCAAGTTTTCTCTATGATTTTTCTTTACATTGACAAGAGCTTTCAATAAACGCAATCCAGAACAGGGAAAGATGACGAAGGGTTCTGGGAGGGACCTTCAGCATGTAATGATTGAAATGGTTTTAACAATGCTGCACTTCTCTGTTGCATGAGAAATTTTATTTGATGAGAATGGTAGATATGATTGAGATGATAGGGTGAGTCTGGATAAAAGGCTGGAAAGAAAATGATTTTTCTCTTCTCTGGTGGTCTCAGCCCACCACACGAGAGCAGTAAAATATACACCCTGTTTTAATATGAAGCTATTTTTTGTTCTCTGAAATGAAAGTAATGTTCGTGGAAACAAGCTTGTGAAGTTACCACTGGGAATTTTTGATGCACTCACCAGATTGACGAAGTTGTAAGTTAATCAACAATAAATCATTGTTATCTAAATTCATAAATTCATAGAACAGGGAACGGAGAACTTTAGTAAGGACTTTAATATAAACCATTCATTTGGAATAGCAGCAATCGGAGTCGTGGGGAAATCGCGTATTATATGCCAACTAATTTTGACCTTCTCATTCAATTTTGCCGAATGTTTTTAACTTCAAAGACAACGTCAAACTTTATTTCGCTAACTAATAGAAATCAAATTATGTTTTAATGTTCACAGAGTGTTGTGGAACAACACAATCAAGACTTTGCCGCAAAAGATATTTCATCACCTAACCAGATTAGAGGAACTGTAAGCGACGTCTAAATCAAAAGCATATAACCTAGACTGGAGCTTGCAAATATGTCTGTTATAGAAGTTGTGAGATGATATATGTAAATGTAAATGTAAACTACTGGCTTCTTTGCTCCTGCATTAATTAAACGCAGATAGATGGTGAAGTACGTTATCCATAATGATCTTCATAAACAGTTTTTAGCGCTATCGGATATGGACCATGCACCCTCGGAAGGATCAGAGTATATTTTCGCAATCGTTACTTTCGTTATAGGAAATGTTTCAAGTGAGACGTCATCTCTCACGAAAGATCGAAAGTAATTTAAGCGCTTATTCTCCATGCGTTTCTACCCGAGTCAAGCTAGCAACGTCACAGAACAGTCCTCAACTTCAATCTCCATTTAGAGGTGTTAATAAAAAACGCCCTGGTTGGAAGTGAAGGACCAGACCAGGTCATTAGTGCTGAACTGTTACATGACCGTTGTTTATATTATCAAAACCGTCTGCCCCGATCATTGAAATATTCTTTACACTTATTGTAGTCTCATGAAAGCTCTTAACATCTTATTAAAGCTCTTAAAATAGTGTTTATTCATTCTTACGATTAGTCGGCCTGGGGTCATTATAGACAAGTGATAAACGCCTTATACTTGAATTTAAAAAAAAACAGCCATCGTAATAAGTTTCTAAACAGGCTCAAAGTGGGATTATTGCTTTGAAATACTAGTCCCGACACTTTTTATCCGCTTCGTTTTAGCCACCACCCGGCTTGTTTCCAAAGTCAGGAAGACTCATAGATATTTACGTACAGTTATACTATTATATCTGTTTTTCTAAAAGCAAAAGTATGCCTGAATGCAGAACAGGATGAGATGGAAGGACTCCTGGAGAGGCTTTAAATATCAATAATCGAAGTTATCTTTTCACATTGCGTGCTTAATTTTTTGGCTTCGTAAACATTAATTACTTCAGAAACTAATCAGGGTTTATTAGGGGTTTTTCCCGCTGTTGTAAATGGATTCGTTTTTTTACAGAGACCTGAGTGACAACCATTTGGAGGAGCTACCATCTGACTTTCTTGCCAACCTCAACATTCTCCAAGAACTGTATGTGAAACTGAACTTTATTAAAGTTGTCGTTAATGTTTCGTTTCCTATACAGGAAACAGGAAAAATAGGATAAAAGTGGAAATTTGTGGCATTTATTTACATATTTCAAGAATGATACGATGTAAGGGCAAGTAAGGGTGGTCCACACGGTCTTAATGCTGGTTACTGACTTCAACACCTGACGTGGAGTGAACTTCAGACTAAAGGGAAAAGTTCAGAGTTCATCACTCTGGAGCGTCTGGTCATGAACTCTCTATTGAATCACTGATTTATTTGTGATAAGCTAACAGCTCTTCTGTTTGACTGTTCCTGCTAAATAGGAGATTGAACAAGAACAGGCTGCGAGACCTTCCTCCGAACGCATTTGATCGAAATCCTCAGCTGAAGATCCTGTAAGTTGATCTGTCTCTGTAAGATCGTCATCAGCTGTGCCGAAACAAATTGAGACATCTGAGAAATCCAATTGAACTCATTATTTGTAAATACCTCATACGAGATGGTTATGTCTATACGAATCTCGAACCGTAGGAACGCAGAGAAGGAAAACAGCTATAGATAATCTTTTGTTTTTCTATCCTTAGAAACAAGAAGCTCATTCCTCTTTATAGATATTATACTTAATCCTGTGTATTGAAAGGCTTATTGATAGACGGACAGGACAGGACACCCTTTTTGGAACTGACTAGCCGTACTTACTTACTTACTTATACTAAACTGAAAAATTTTCCTAATGAATCAAATACGTTTGGTCAGATTATTCAATCATCTATTATTCTGATGGAGGTATGTAAAAAAAATATATAAATAAATAAAAACATGGTATGACTGACAAGCTCGGACCCATGAAGAGTGCTTTACGTAGTTAAAAGTTATTGTAGGTTACTGGAAAGACTCGCTTAAAGAATGTATGCTTTTAAGTTCATTTCACTTCCTCGGTTATTTTTTCTTTTTTTTTCTGTATTTTATAGACAATTTATCCACAATAGTCTAGGTAACCTGCCGTCTGGCCTGTTTTCTAATCTCGGAAATCTCACAGAGCTGTACGTAGAGATATGTATTTATATCTGTCCTTTCATCTTAGCAAAGGGAAAAGGCTCAAATAACAGTTTGGTTGGAGGCGGTACTCAAGACAGAGTTCGAGTTTTGCCTTATGATTTTACATTGACGAGGGCTTGCAATAGACGCAACCCGGAGCAGGGAAAGATGAGAAAGGGTTCTGGGAGGGACCTTAGGAATGTAATGATTGAAATGGTTTTAACAATGCTGCACTATTCTATTGCATTAGAAGTTGTGTTTAATGAGAATGGTAGATATGATTGAGATGATAGGGTAAGTCTGGAAAAAAGGCTGGAAAGAAAAATGATTTTTCTCTTCCCTACGCTTAATTTAATCTTCTTGGTGATCTCAGCCCACCACACGAAAGCAGTAAAATATATACACCCAGTTTTAATATGAAGCTATTTTCTGTTCTCTTAAATGAAAGTAATGTTCGTGGAAACAAGCTAGTGGAGTTACCATTGGGGATTTTTGATGCTCTCACCGAATTAAAGAAGTTGTAAGTTAATTAACAATAAATCAGCGTTATCTAAATTCTTAAATGTGTGTGAAAGCTCAAGATCCTCGACGAACTAAACTAACAATGAACTGGAAACGGGAAACGGAAAACTGGGGAAGGGGAACGAAGAACGGAAAACGTAGAGCGGGGAAAGGGGAAGAAAAATATAGAACAGGGACCGGGGAACTGAGAACGGAGTACGTTAGTGAGGACTTTAATATCCAACCATACCTTTTGAATAGCAGCACTCGGAGTCGTGGATAAATCGCGTTATACGCCAACTAATTTTGAATTAGTTGGCAGATTGAATTTCTCTTTCAAGTTTGCCAAAAGTTTTTAACTTCAAAGACAGCATCAAACTTTATGTCGCTTAACTAATAGAAACCAAATTATGTTCACAGAGTGTTGTGGGACAACACAATCAAGTCTTTGCCGCAAAAGATATTTCATCATCTAACAGGATTGGAAGAACTGTAAGCGACGTTTAAATCAGAAGCATATAACTTAGACTACTGGCTTCTTTGCTTCTGGATTAATTTATAGTAAACGCTGATAGATGGCGAAATATGCCATCCATAATGATATTCATAAATTGTTTTCGACGCTCTTGGATATGGAACGTGCACCCTCAGAAGGATCATCGGTGCTGTTCTATATTCAGTGCACCACCTTCGTAATAAGAAATTCGGCATTAATAAGAAACAAAAAGTTTATTTAATGTTTAAAGGGAACCTTTTGTTCCGAGTTCCGTTTAGCAAGTGAACACGTTGGTCCCAGATGAGTAATTTAGGAACAAGTGTTCCCATG